AACATCTGCAGCATCAAACAGCAGCAGGATCCACATGAGCATCTACAAAAATAGAAAGTTAATGATTACGTATAATTATAAATGAACCCTGACATGAATGCAGGATGGATCTTACATCAGGTCATATTGTTGAGTCCAGAGTTCCATCACAGGATATTTTTATTTTAATGTCGGTAAAGTATTAGTTAGATTATCATCACACATGGACAGAAGTTTCACTCCTCAGTTTAACTCTTTAGTTATTTGATAAGCTGCTATTGGTTTAGATTTAGTCTTTAGTTTAAATATTATACATCACTTGATGCTCTGTCCAACCTGCGTGACAGAAACAGAGTAATGAAGCAGCAATGTTGCATATCCCACGTCTGAAGAGGACTAATCCGAACCAGCGAGACCGCCGGTTCGATTTTTACAGAAGCAGACACATTCAAACGAAGTGAAGGAGAGTAACGTGTGAGGAGGGCTTCAGAGTGTAAATGTGAACTGTCATATATATGAAAAAGACTCTGTCACATAACAGAGAATGTTTGCTGAAATAAACTTTGCCAGGAGACGGAGGAGGAAAAAAAAAAACATATTTAACCAGTAATGAGAAGATCAATGAGAGCGAAGATTAGGACGGATGACGGATGGAGACCGAAGGGGAAAGAGGGAACAGAGTTTGGAGGGAGCGCTGATAGTGATGAATAGAGGACAGACAGGAGATGAAACAAATATTAAAGAGGACAGAAGGGGGGAGAAAGAAAGAAAACAGCCGGTCTGAGGGAGAAGTGGATGTAAAAGTCGTTTTTTTTTGCCCGTTGATTTAAAACAACCATTAGTACGTGCAAAAATCCATCAGCTGTGCAATCAACATGCCTCTTAATTTAGTGCATCTTAAGTGCAGATTTCAATTGGCGCTCCCATGAGGTAAATGAGACCACTTTTCTCTGCAGTCTAATCTGAGTCGAGGGGGGACTCTGGTCAATTTATAGTGTGCAGCCGGAGACGTAGCTGCAGGGCTGCTGAATGCTTAAACTGTTATGTTCCGGAGACAATCCCAAATTGAAAGTTAGAACGGAGAAACAGAGGGAGAGTAAAATGAATTTTCACAAAGCATTATTAACCTCTGGCACTCCTTACAAAATTTGTTAGGAACCGTCTGGTCCTGCAGATCAATCACGACGAGAGAGAGGGAGAGAGACCCCCGCAGAGCGAGCTACTCCTCCGCGGTCCGCTTTGCTGAGGGAGAGCTAGCTCGCCGGGGACAAATTAGCCACACAGGAGCACCGAGGCATCATGGGAAATTAATGATCAGGACCTCCAGGAAGTGAGCTAATGAGTCCTGGTGGCGCACACATGTAGGCAACACCAACCAACACACACACGCACACACATGGGATAAAGGATCCTGCAGAACGGAAATGGCCACTGCAGCAGCTAATAACACAAAGCTATCAATGCAGCTTTGTGTGGATGACTGATAGCGCTCCAACAACACGCACACACACACATTTAGAGAATCAGATAATTAGAGAGGACCACCGGTGGCTTTCACCCCATGGAGGCGTAGTGATTACTGTCGCTACAACCTCCCCTGGGGCGGCCGACAACAACCAGAGAATTAATACTTATCGCGCGCACACACACACACACACACACACACACAAACCTTGTGCAGCTGAACTAAATGTGGCTCTTGTAGGCAGTCAAAGGGGCGCTGAGGGTTCCTGCTGCGTCTCGGGTACCTGAATGCACCACGTTGCCATCCGGCGTTGGCCTACTTGGAGCTGAAAAGAAGTTCGGGAGAGACAGGAGAAAAGTTTTTCTTTGTACAAACCAGCAAAAGCACCTCACCGCTTAATGAGCTAGATGGATTAGGATTTTCTGTTCCAAAGAAAAACTTTCTGAGGTAATACGTTCAGCAGAAAGTTTGTTTTTAGTTCCCAGAATGTTCTCCTTAAAGGCAGAATAACTAAAGACGTGCTAAAAAAAGTTTGGCGACAAAGTTGTTGAATGTTGTTCTTCATGCACCACCAGGGGAACGTTTTATAGATTCTGTACGATGGTTGCTCAGAACGTTGCAGGCAGAACGTTCTCTCTTTGGTTCTATACTGCGGTGTAGGAACGTCTTATAAAGAACATTCTCTCATCTGAGGCCTCAATAACATCTTGAAAAAGTTTTTTGAATGTTGCATGGAGAACATTCTTTCTTTGGTGGAACATTGTGGAAACATTTTATAGATTCTAGAATCTCAACATTATCCTCAGAACATCCTCTAAACATTACAGGCAGAATAATTCACCTTTATCGCAGTGCGGGAACGTCTTTTAAAGAATGTTCTGCCATCTCTAACATCTTAAAAATGTTTTTCTAAACCCTTCATTATGTTACAGGAACATTATAGAATGTTTTACAGAGAAAGTTCTATACTGTGTTCCCCTCGAGAACATCCCCAAAACATCATCAGAACTTTGCTGGCAGAATGTTCCACCTTTGTTAATATATCACTGTACGGGAACGTACCTTGATAACACCTGGAAAACAGTCATTGAATGTTGAGAACACGGTGGGAACATTTTAAAGATTCTAAAATATGTTCCTTCAACAAAAAAAGGAAAACGTTCTACCTTCAATACAATCCAATACAGGAACGTTACAGAATGTTTTACAGAGTAAGTTCTCTACTGTGTTTCCTCAACAACATCCCTTAAACATCTTCAGAACATGTTCCATCTTTTGTGAATGTATCACTGTACAGGGACGTCTTCTAAGGAACAATCTGTCATCTGAGGCCTTGATAACATCTGGAAAATCTTTTTTTGAATGTTGGTTCAAGAAAGTTCCTCCTTTGTTACCATAGAACACTGTGAGTGAGACTGTTGTATAGGAGAACGTTCTAAAATATGTTCCCTTAAAGCATCCTCAGAACACTGCAGCCAGACAGTTCCACCTGTGTTAATATATCGCATCACAGTAACGCTATAAAATGTTCTCTGTCATCCAGGGCCTCGACAACATCTGGAGAACATTTTTTGAATGTTGGTTCAGGAAAGTTCCTCCTTTGTTGTCATTGTGGAAACGTCATATAGGAGAACGTTCTTTGGTGTGTTCCCTCAACAAAAAGGCTAAATGTTCTACCTTTTATATATCTCATTCCAGGAAGATTATAAAATATTCATGTGAGGCCTCGATAACATCTGGAGAACCTGTTTTGAATACATGCCAGGAAGCAGCAGCTCCCTGTCGGACCACATGCAGAACTTTTGTGTACACAGGTGGACATGAAGGACACCATTTTTGTTTTTCTGTTTATTTAACTTACTCCTGTCGCTACAGAGAAAACCGGCACTTTTTAAAGTTAGCTTTGCTCATTTGATTAAAGAGAGCAGCCTGTTTTAAAGGACATAAAGTTAACAGAAGTTATTACCTGAGCTTCATCCTTGCAGAGGTCATCTTGTCCTGGAGGTCAAAGAGGAACCATGCCTCCACAGCAGCTCCTTCATAGGTTCCCTGAGTGGGCGGGACCTCAAATAGAGATGTGTCCTGATTGGCTGGTTTGATTGTGCCCATTATTTCAGAAATTGCAAATAAACACTTTTCTATTTTGAAGCACATTTTTCACCAGCATGATGTTTGTCCTCCACATGCCTCCCAAGGCTCCCTACACCTGTCTGTGCAATAATACTGTTTGAAAATGTTTATATCTTTGTTATTGTGGAACATTTTGAGAATGTTTTATAGAAGCACATTCGATAATGTGTTCCCTCAACATCCTCAAACCATCCTCAGAAGATTGCAGCCACCTTTGTTAATATATCACAGTCCAGAAATGTCCCGTTATCACTGCAGAAGCATCTTACAGAAGAGCGTTTTGTAAAGGCAAAATGTTCTGCATTTATTAAACCACATTATAGGAACATTATGAGACATTCTGTATAATTTTTTTTTTTTTTAAATAGTCGTTTTACAACGTTCATCCTCAGAACATTACATTACAGGAATGTTGTGTTTTTTTTTTGTTTGTTTTTTTAAATCAGCTGAGGCTTCAATAAAGTTTGGAAAACATTTTTTTGTGTTGGTTCGGGAACAGTTAGTTTGAGTTCATTCTTCCTTTGTTATGGTGGAACATTTTGAGAATGTTTTATAGCAGAGTGTTCTCTTGTGTGTTCCCTCAACACAAAGACAAAATGGACAACCTTCAATATGTCACATTAATGAACGTTATAAAACCTTCTGCATAAAAACCTTCTGTTACTGAGGGTTTGAAACATATGGCGAACATTTTTTGAACATTGGCTTGATAGCGTTCCTCTTTCGTTTCCATGGAACATTGTGGAACATTATGGAAATGTTTTATAGATCCTGTAACATTTTCCCTCAACAACATCCCTGAAACATCTTCAGAACTCTGCTGGCAGAACGCTCTACCTTTGTTAATGTATCAGATGACAGGAACATTTTATAAAAATTATCTGATGCCTGATAGCATCTGGAAAACATTTTTTGACTGTTGATTTGAGAGCATTCCTCCTTCGTTATCGTGGAACATAATCTGTGTTTCTGACAACATCATCTGAATGTTGACGTTAAAACATTCAAAGGAACATTACTGGAAACACAACATTCTTTACATAACTAATCAAAACATTTTCCTCTAAAATGATCAGATCTTGTAGGTGATATTATCTAATGTTGAGGGAACGTTTCCTACCAGCTGACAGAGTTCCTGATATTCAGTCATGGCTTTTAGTTTCTGTTTCCCGCCCTGATATAGTCCCCACCCGGCCACTTCTGTGAAAACTACTGGGTGCGTCCAGGAAAACCAGAGCAGTGACAGGCTGCCTCCCCACACCAGTGGGCGCACCTCACAAAGCTTTCACTTTGCTCTGCAGTGTCACCCATAACCACACCCTTGTCGGCTGATTGGGCCAAAGTTTGCGCGGCGCCGCCCTCAGCGCCCCGCATCCGCCCTTCCAGCCCTCCGCAGCCTGTTGCTGCCAAACCAGCTGGCAGTTTCAATTCATAATCTGACCTATTACTGTGCTGACATTTAAACTCAGGTTTACTCGCTTTTCTTAACGCTTTACAGTGAGCAGATCACCAGCATGCGGAATGTGGACAAACTCTCAGGAACTTTCCGCAGTAGGAGCGCACACCTTGCACTTTGCAGCCGTTTTTGAGCGACTTCACTCAGTTTACTTCACCGCAACATGCCAAAACTGCAGCAGCGGCAGATGTCGTAGAAGTTTGTTCACGAGTTGGTGAAGCCGCTGGTGGAAAAGTCGTTCACCGGGACTCGTCACCTGACTTTTACGCACCACTCCCAGCCGGTGCAGAGCGTCTCCTCTCCGCCTCTCGGCCAGGATGGGCTCCCTGATGTGGACTCCTGGAGCTCTTCCTGCTTGGATTTTGCTCTTCAACATAATCTCAGCGGTTGTTGCCAAAAGACACGTCGTGTATTGGAATTCTACCAACACGAGGTGAGGAAACTCTGTGCGTAATGACGCGTCAAAGTGTTTGTGTGCTCTCTGCAGGCCAAACGGAGGCTCCGGTGTTAAAGGTCAGAATGCAGCTCGGTGTGCAGGCTTTGCGCTGAGCAAACGCTGCTGGTCTGAACTTGCACTGCCCTGCTATTGCACAACAGCCCCGGTGATTCCTGCTATATGAGTCAGGCTGTAGTTGGCTTAAAGAATCTCAGCTATGCGGCAAATCACGTCTGTGTAAATCAAAAGAGGTGCAGAGCAGGTTATGATTGTCTTTCTGGTAAATTCAAATGAAATACAGTTCAGAGCAGCCCTGGGGGACGCTGGGTTGATCTGAGACACACTCACCTGAGGTCACCTCCCTGCTGCAGCTATCTTTATCATAATGACCACACTGTAACCCGGGCTTTCACCTGTCTGCCTTTTGGAGTCAGTGATTATGCTGCTTATAGAAAGCCAGAAGTAAGGGTTTCTTCCAAGGTGTTTGCTCTGAATTGTGCCCTAGATAGCATTCTCGGGACACAGGTGTATATTAAAGTCTAAAGTGCTGCTGTGCACAGGCGAGTGTGTGGGTAATGGGACGGTGTTTGTGAGTGTGTGTAATGGCTTGATTGGGGCCATTAGCCAGGCGGAGTGAGGCTCACCTGCTGATCCAGGTGTTCCAGTCTGGCTAATTGAAGGGTTAAGGTGGGAGACCTGCAGGGCCAGTAGGCCCAAAAAACACATCCGCAGTTCGCTTACCTGCTTATTTAGAGACTCTCGCTGTCGGTAAGAGCCGATTCCCAAAACACTCCTTCACACAAATTACTTTTTTTCACCAAATAAGTACAGACACCACTTTGTCAGTCACAGGTTTGTATTTTACCGTTTGTGGATCAGAGCTGCATCACGATGTGTGAAGTATGAAGTAAGAAATTAACTCAAACGTGTCATTCTACAGCTTCCATGACTAATCTACAGGAGAAGTCTGTCTGATAGAACATCATTTACTCTGATTTAAGTCTTCTTAGATGCACTGAGTGTATTTTTTTTCCCTAACTTTATTCAAAAAACAGAGTTTGTTGACATGTAGGCTCCACATGAGCACAGCAAAAAAAAAGAAAAAAAAAGGGGGGAAAAAAGCAAGAAACAAGAGAGAAACACTGAAAAGGAAGATTTGGGTGCCAAAACAAATCAGTTATATGGAAATATTTCGGTTACAGAAAGGATGATGTCGACCAAAAAAACATGTTTTCTGTCAGCGGCGTCTTGCAGTTGCTGCCGCCACATGAGGCAACTATTTGTTTGATCATTTAAATCAGCAGCACAGGGCTCTGTATGATGAGTGCAAAGACAGATCTGAATGTCATCCAAGACAAAAAAAAAACAAGAAAACAATTCTGGATGCCTTTGCCAGTGTTTCACCAAATGAGAAATGTTCCAAATTCAGCTTTTTTTTTTTTTTTTTTTTTTTAACTCTCTATGCAGATGCACTCTGCTACAGAATCACTCTGTAGAATGATTAATGCTTTCCAAACAGAGTTATTCAAGTCATGTCTTATATTTTTCAACATATATTGCAGGAAAAACTGCTTCCACCATCGTGTAGCTCTAATGTGGATGTACAAAAAAACGTGACACAAATATGACTCCAGGGACTATTAATTTCCCCAAAGGGCTCCTCGCTCAGGTCTCCTGCGCCGGAGTCAGCCGAGGTTATATCCAGTGTGTCCAGGCGCGTAAAACCCAGTCGTGTAATTGGGATCCGACAGAAATGTGGGGAGGAACAGTGTGTGGATTAGGAAGCACCTTCTTGTTCCCCAGTGATTCAGGGATGAATGGTCACAGCCTGTGGCGGCGACCACACAGTCTGCTGCAACACCACGCAATCACAATGCCATCAGCATCGCGGCGGAGGGCAACCCACTGTGGCAGAGAATCACTCTCATCAGCAACACCACCCAATCACAAAGCTATCAGCGGAGTCGAGACACCGCGCCCGGGCCTCAATCCCACCGGGCTCACCTCCTCTCCTCTCTCCTCTTTCCTCTCCTCGCTCCTCTCCTCACTCTTCATTACCTCCCTTGTTACATCCCGCTCTTCTTTTCATTTTTTTCATCTCCCCCCTCCCTTCCTCCCTTTATCTCTCACGACTCCCTCCTGCCCAGTGATGGATATTGGCAGTGTGATTAGTTGAGCTTCAATCATTTTCCCATACCATATTTTCTATTAGCTGCCAGCCAGCCAGGTTGTCCTGAGGCCTGTGAATGTGGGCAGGCGAAGGAGAAGGAGCTCAGGGACGGAGAGCCTCTTGCTTTTGTTGGCTCGACGCTGCACTGCAGGGTCCAGAACTGCATCAGAACCTTAATACAGACGGAAATCTACATCGTTGAAAGACCACGTTTGACTCTTTTGGGCTCTTTTGGTCTACAGTGTTGTAATAGATTACAATTTAAATATAGAATGTGCTCTCAGATTCTCTCTTTATTATGTAGGGGGTGGCTCCTCACGTACTCTATATGGTTCTTTAAAGTACTAAAGGTTCTCCTTTTTTTTTGCGTTATTGGAGTTATTTGGTTTGGTGGCAGGTATTAGCATAAAATTAGAGCTGCACCTAATGATTATTTTTTATTACTGATTCATCATTTGGTCGATTAAAGAGTGAGAAATTCCAAACACAATTTCCCAAATCCCAAAGTAGCATCTTGGAACATGTTGTTCTGTGTGTTCTAATAGAAAGAACCCAGAAATGCTGCAAATTCTTACATTTAAAAAAAAAATGCTTAAAGATTTAATGATTATCAAGTCCTGTTTGTTAAAATGGAACCTGGTGAGTCTATGAAGAAATATGTGGAAAATGGTTCCTTAAAGAGCCTAGTTTTGCTGA